ATATTTAAATATTTAATAGAAGAAAATCAACCGATATTTAAATATCTTAATTTAACAAAACAGACTGGTATTTTAAATCTCTTAATCGAACAATAATGACCAAAATTGTCTTCTCTTGGTAGAAACAAAAATAAGCAATATTTTAATACCTTAAAAGAATAAAATGAACCAATATTTAAATTTCTTAATAGAACAACACTAACCGATATTTAAATATCTTAATTACCAACAGATCTTCAACAGCCCTTTCCTGTAATTTTGAAAATAATACCGTTGTGTTTCACAGAATGTAGTTTTAAGAGTTTTTTAGTCGAGAATGTACTTGTTTGGACTTCAAATATGCAGTTTGTTAATAAAGATAACGTCTATTTGAAAATTTGCTTCAGTGTTTTTGGAGACGTGAGCTCCAGAGCGTCTGGCTCTGATGTCTCTATAGTGGTTAAACATGAGGTATAATTCGTTTTGGGTAAATCTAACGGACAATCTTTGGTCTCAATCTATTATTTGTTCCAGAGCAAGTAGTTTTGGCAAAATCTCATCATGTTTATGTAACTTCAATGCTGTATATCAGAGCGCTGCCTTTGTACTTTTGACTGAATTGCCTAGTAACTTTTATGATGGCTGTAGTTGTTTATTAAATATTATTATTCAATGAATAATATTTTATATAAATAATAGTAGTATGTAGTATTGGTAAACGGTGTGTGTGTGTTCGTAATGGTGATTTTAGTTTCATTATTACGCCGTTAGATGGCGACAAGAGACTGTTTTACGAGTCAGCAGTAAAGACTTTTAAATTGAAAAATTACTAAAGTGCAGTTTTGAATTTTTTCTTTCATAAAGCTTGTGTGCAGCCAACACGCACTAAGCAGCGCTGTCATCAGAAATAACGGATATTTAAATCTCTAAACAGAACAAAATCAGCTGACATTTAAATCTCCTATTAGAACAAAACAACCGAAATTTTTATTTTTTATAAGAACAAAATAACCGATATCTAAGTTTCTTATTAGAATAAAACAACCAATATTTAAATCTCTAAACAGAACAAATCCAGCTGACATTTAAATCTCCTATTAGAACAAAACAACCGAAATTTTTATTTTTTATAAGAACAAAATAACCGATATCTAAGTTTCTTATTAGAATAAAACAACCAATATTTAAATCTCTAAACAGAACAAATCCAGCTGACATTTAAATCTCCTATTAGAACAAAACAACCGAAATTTTTATTTTTTATAAGAACAAAATAACCGATATCTAAGTTTCTTATTAGAATAAAACAACCAATATTTAAATCTCTAAACAGAACAAATCCAGCTGACATTTAAATCTCCTATTAGAACAAAACAACCGAAATTTTTATTTTTTATAAGAACAAAATAACCGATATCTAAGTTTCTTATTAGAATAAAACAACCAATATTTAAATCTCTAAACAGAACAAATCCAGCTGACATTTAAATCTCCTATTAGAACAAAACAACCGACATTAAAAAAATGTATAAGAACAAAATAACCGATATTTAAATTTTTTATAAGAACAAAATAACCGATATTTAAATCTCTAAACAGAACAAAACCAGCTGACATTTAAGTTTCTTATTAGAACAAAAAACAAACAACATTTATTTCAAACAACATTATTTATTATTATAAGAACAAAATAATCGATACTTGAATTATCGGTTATTAGGGAGGGGGGGTATTAAAAACAAAAATTATTTAATCATATCGTGTTGGGAAGCTGGGAAGCATACAAAATTTTATTTTATTTTTATTATTATTATTATTTATTACGAACAACAGTAATGTGCAAAATCGAATAAATTGTATATTATATACTCTCATTAAAGGCACCATTATTCGTTTATAGTATTATCCTGAACTGACCGAGAACGGCAGTGATTATAAAAGAAGGGCTCTTTACTTTATGTGACTCAGTCGCAAATTAAACACAAGTTTGTGTTTTCATGGCACTTTGTGACTTGTCTTACTTCATAAACATGAAAAGTTCAAAACTTTGACAAAATTTGATTCCTTGTTGATTTAATATTTTATACTAGTGATTTTATAATATCAAAATATAAAGTAAAAACAGTGGAAATGAATGATTAATGAGCCAATAAGTGCTCCTCTTGCTGCCATCTACTGGTTATAGTGGTAATTTGATGTCTTTTTAAATTAGATTTTAAATAAGTGTTTGTTTACCACAAGTATAAACAAGTATATTTTGGGCATACCATTAAAAATAACATTTAAATTGGATAATTTTTAGAACTTTAGAAAGTTACCATTTGTAATTTACGTTAATCTCACTGGATTTTCATTGTTATTGTGCATGTGTACAATACTTTTACTCATCAAGGATGCATACATTTTATCAAAAGTGACAGTAAAGACATTTATAATATTAGAAAAGTTTTCGGTTTCAAATAAACGCTGTTCCATTGAACTTTCTGTTCATCTGTGAATCCTAAAAAACAAAATGCATCTCAGTTTCCACAAAAATATTGTGCAGCACAACTGTTTTCAACATTGATAATAATCAGAAATGTTTCTCGAGCAGCAGATCAGCATATTATACTGATTTCTGAAGATCATGTGACACTGAAGACTGGAGGAATGATGCTGAAAATACAGCTGCGCATCACAGAAATACATTACAGTTTAACACATATTCACATAGAAAACAGCTGTTTTACATTATAATAATATTTCACAAATTGTCACTGTATTTTTGATCAAATAAATGCAGCCTTGGTGAGCAGAAGAGACTTCTTTAAAATATTTGTGGAGAAAATGTCAAATGTTTTGTGGAAACTGTGTTACATTTTACTTCTCAGGATTCTTTGATGAATAAGAAGTTCAAAAGAGCGGCATTTATTTGAAACAGAAACCTTTTCTAATATTATAAATGTCTTTACTGTCACTTTTGATCAATTTTATGCATTCTTGATGAGTAAGAGTAAAACATCAAGTTTTCATGAGCGCTCAGCAGCTCCGGATCGGCTCGCGTTTAACACAGAGACACTTCAGAGCAGATTTCACCAGGGACAGCCTTCATTTGCATTTAAATGTCAGATTCATGAAGGAGGTCTCGGGGATTAATTGCTTTTCCCTAATCGAGGTCTCTTAAATAAACATAAAATAATGAAACAATACAGACAGCGAGAGAAAATAATTACAACTATCTCAAAGCAAACACGTTAATAAAAGGATTAAGATAACATTAGTCTCATGCTCAGACGACACACTTCACACACCGTCTGACGGATCTGGCTTGGCTCTGGTTTACATCAGTCTGACTGGATCTGTCACTTAACACACTTAAAAACACAACATGCACTAACCGTCTTCACACACGTGTGATAAGATCTGCTTATAAATCTGGAGATTCTAGAAAAGATTAGACAAGGGCTGCATGTGTTTTCCCACCAAAATAAAAGCTTAAATAAAAGATTTCTGCAGGTTTATGAAGGTACATTTAAGGGTTTTAAGACCATGTTAAGACCAAGTAAAGAAAATTTAAGGAAGAAGTTAAACTGAAAACACAATTAGTCAATAGGGTCTCAAGATGTAAAGAAGAAATATCTGGAAATGGGCTCAGAAACATCAACAAACAAGTTTTCAAGCCCACTGACAGATATATATATATTGTTGTTTTAATCAAACACATTTTTATTACATAAAAAAAAAAACAAGACATCATGTTTTCAATATGCAACTCAAGCAAATGCATCATGATTTAAGGATGTTTAGATATTTTTTTACTGGAAAACAAGACAGAATTACTGATAAAGATGTTTTTGCTTGAATATTTCATCTCTAAAAGATTGTTTTGCACACAAAAAAAAAGAAGCGTTTTAGCTTTTTTTAGCATTATATATGCAGTATTTCTATTTTCCATACTGTATTCATGTATTTTTAGTATGAAATATTATCATAAAATATCATATACCGCATAAAAAAATAAATATTAAAAAGTTTGAATTCTTTACATTTTAAGTTTGAAGTCTGGCCACTTTTTCTAGAGTTTACGGGCTGTTAAAGCAATGAGTGACGCACCTGGACGTCCTGTAGTTTGGTGTTCCAGGCCTCTGTGACGGCTGCGGCGTGTTCACGGTGAGTGATGTAGATGTGCGCCTGCAGCACGTGAGCCAGTGTGAGTCTGGAGTCCATCGCATGCAGAACCTTCTCCATGTGACTGAAGCAGAGCCGAGCCTGAAGAGCCACCGGGCCCTTCACCAGCTGCATGGAGCAGGGCACCAGAGCGATCTGTCCCGCGCAGAACACCGCATCCCGCACCTGAGACACACACATGGAGTTAAACCACTCACAGGCATTACTGTTAGATCTGCACACACACAACACCTCAGAGATAAACCACGCAAACATTCAGTTACAGGAGACACACAACACCTTAATGAACATTGTTAATCAAATTAATTGTGAGCCTGCAGCACAAAAGCAGTGTTGAGTCGCTGGGGGATATTTGTAGCAATAGCCAACAATACATTGTATGGGTCACAATTATACATTTCTCTTTTATGCCAAAAATCATTAGGATATTAAGTAAAATATATTGTTGTTTTAATCAAACACATTTTTATTACATAAAAAAAAAAACAAGACATCATGTTTTCAATATGCAACTCAAGCAAATGCATCATGATTTAAGGATGTTTAGATATTTTTTTTACTGGAAAACAAGACAGAATTACTGATAAAGATGTTTTTGCTTGAATATTTCATCTCTAAAAGATTGTTTTGCACTCAAAAAAAAAGAAGCTTTTTAGCTTTTTTTAGCATTATATATGCAGTATTTCTATTTTCCATACTGTATTCATGTATTTTTAGTATGAAATATTATCATAAAATATCATATACTGCATAAAAAAATAAATATTAAAAAGTTTGAATTCTTTACATTTTAAGTTTGAAGTCTGGCCACTTTTTCTAGAGTTTACGGGCTGTTAAAGCAATGAGTGACTCACCTGGACGTCCTGTAGTTTGGTGTTCCAGGCCTCTGTGACGGCTGCGGCGTGTTCACGGTGAGTGATGTAGATGTGCGCCTGCAGCACGTGAGCCAGTGTGAGTCTGGAGTCCATCGCATGCAGAACCTTCTCCATGTGACTGAAGCAGAGCCGAGCCTGAAGAGCCACCGGGCCCTTCACCAGCTGCATGGAGCAGGGCACCAGAGCGATCTGTCCCGCGCAGAACACCGCATCCCGCACCTGAGACACACACATGGAGTTAAACCACTCACAGGCATTACTGTTAGATCTGCACACACACAACACCTCAGAGATAAACCACGCAAACATTCAGTTACAGGAGACACACAACACCTTAATGAACATTGTTAATCAAATTAATTGTGAGCCTGCAGCACAAAAGCAGTGTTGAGTCGCTGGGGGATATTTGTAGCAATAGCCAACAATACATTGTATGGGTCACAATTATACATTTCTCTTTTATGCCAAAAATCATTAGGATATTAAGTAAAGATCATGTTCCTTGAAGATATTTTGTACATTTCCTACTGTAAATTCAAAACAGCTTTCTTAATCGCACATTGATTTCATAATTGCATGATTAATTCGATCTGCGATTATGAAAGCTGTTTTGCGCAGTTTGTTAGTGAACTACAGCTCTGTGTGGTAAACGCTGCCCCATCTGAAAGCACGGCGAGTTTGAGTCATTTATAACGGATGGAGATTTACTACTGATCACGGAACCGTGCTTCACTGACAAGCTGCACATGAAAATCGCATTTGATTAATCGTGCAGCCCTAACAGTAAGTAAATAAATGGGGAGAGTCTCCACAATGGGACTGAAGCTCTCATCTGTGCACGAGCCGCCTGACAACGGGCATTCAGCGTGATTTCAAAAGCAACATTTCAACGTCAGATTGCCTTTTCTTTAACACAAACGAACAAAATAAATACTCTACTTCTTGGGAGGTCCTAGGTGGGGTCTTGGAAGGGGTACTACCTGATCTGAACCCAAGTGGTGTTTTGTTATTGGACTTCTGTGCTTAGCAGGGATTGGCCATAACAAACACCATGTTTGAACATAAGGTTGTTCATAAGTGTACTTGATACCAGACCACCTTAGCCTCTGATTGACTTCGCAGTCGTATCATCAAACCTGTGGCCATATGTTCTGGACACTCGTGTAAAGACAGGAGCAGAGCTGTCAATTGATCACCAGTTGGATAAGATTGCGGGGGAACCTGCCGGACAGACCCGTATAGTGAGGGTCAACTGGGAACGTCTGGCTGAGGACTCCCACCTCCGGAGAAGCTTTTCCTTACTTCTAAGGGAAGGCTGGGGACATGGACTCCGAGAGGGCTCTGTTCTGGCCTTTTGAGTTTGGGAAGAGATTGGGCAGGCCATATGAGAAGGACTTTTGGTTGGCCTCAAAGAGGTTCTGGCAAACCACCAGACGGCTGAGGCGGAGAAACCATAGACTGGTCCAGGCTGTTCTAAAGCCTGGAATACACTACATGATTTTTAAAATCTGAACAGATTTTTAAAGTGCCCCTATTATGGATTTTTGAAAATTACCTTTCATGCAGTGTGTAGCACAGCTCTAAGTGAATGAAAACATCCTGAAAAGTTTTAAATCTGAAAGTGCACCATGTATAACGTTATTGTTGCCTCTCAAAAGAAAGAGTTGACTCTGAATCATTTAAACGAGTCGTTTTTAAAACAAATCCCAAGTCGTTTCGTGTTGACGTCAATATGAAACATTAGCATATTGCCCGCCCGACCTGGGAAAACTTAAACTCACAAACACTGCTTTATCAGGCATTACAGGCATGATGAAATGAAAATGAGACCAATCACCGCAGATTAGCGTCACATAAAGGAGGGGTTTGGAAAAATGAATCGTTGAGCGAATCGTTTGGGAGTCATTGAGCAAATAAGGTAAAAATAAATGCATATTATAAGACAATGAAAGTGTTTTTGAACTTGCATGCATTTCAACCTGTTGTTGGGGACTCCCAGAACCAAAATATGAACCTTTCACTACACATAATAGGGACATTTTAAAACACTAGGCATCATACACTTTACCGACTTTGTAAATAGTGACAGAGGAAAACTGGTCGTCATACACTACACGACTCAGGATCACACACTACCAGACTTTAAAGTTGTTCTGATCACAACAAACTCAAACAAAAGAAACGTGCGCCTAGGAGACTCATGAAAAATTAAAATAATGTGTGTTCTAAAATCGGCTGAAAATATCAAACATGTTTGATATCCTCCGACTGGATGGAACCTAAGTCTGAAGATAACAAATTGGAGTCTGTGACCATCGTACACTACGTGATTTTCTATGGAATCTGTCAACTCAAATCTGCAGACTGGCTCTGACTTTCCGCAAATAGCGTTCAACAAAAAATGCGTAGTGTAATCCAGGCTTAAGTCAGTACGGGGGCTTGCTGACCTCACATGTTGATGCGTTCTGGAGGTGGAAGGAGCACTTTGAGGATCAAGTTGAGGCAGGGTTGGATGACTCGGGAGAATTCTGGCCCATTTCCCTGGCGGAAGTCACATTCTTCCCGATATGTTGAAGGCCCTGGATGAAGTTGGTCTGCTTGTTCAACATCGCATGGGAATCTGGGTCAATGCCTGGTGATTGGCAGAGAGGTGTGGTGGTTCCCATTTTCAAAAAAGTTGACCGAAGGGTGTGTTGCCTGGGAAAGTCTATGCCCGAGTACTGTAAATGAGAATCCAACCCACTCTCAAACCTCAACTGGAGGAGGAACAATGCAGATTCCATCCCAGACGAGGAACAGTGGACCAGCATTTCACCCTGGCAAGAATACTGGAGGGGGCATGTTTGCTTATCCAATCTACACGTGTTTTGTAGATTTGGAGAAAGCCTATGACGTGATTGCTTGTGGGGGGGGGGGGGGTTTGG